TCTTCCTTTTTTACTATTTTGTTAAATAAGTTCTTTGGTGACGGTATCTCTCGGGAAAAAGTGCAAGCCTTATGAAATACAAATTATTCATTGTCCAAAGAGATGGAATTTATGTAAAAAACACGTTTCTGAAGCACAAAAAATCTTGTTGGCTTAGAAGGGATGTCGGCTGTTGAATAATTTGAATCAAATTGTACTTGCATCTTTGAAATTCTAGTCGGGGAAAAGCGACTTATTTACATTTTGTAGAGCAAAAAAATTCGAGTTCTTGAAAAAAATGGGATCCTTCCACCATCTTTCCTTACCCAAACTTTTTTTCCTTGGCAATGTAATACTTTGAAAAACCTATCACTTGATACCGGGCTATACTCGAAACGTCGTTATTTATTTAAAAAATTTTTCCTGGTACAATTCACTTACATTTATCGTTATTATAGCATCATATTGACTGCACGCAAGCTAGTATATTTATATTACCTTAAAAAAGCCCAAATAAATTAGATGACGTAACAATTGGATAATTCGACAATTTGACGTAACAATTACGGACTGGGTCGACATCTTTAAAAGTGGCGTTTGATAAAATATCAACGGACTTTGCTCAAGTTTCAACTACTGTTCGAAGCTAATCAGAGTGCTGCTCGATTTTTAAAAAGACTCAAAGTTAAAAACAGACGATGGAAAACAATTCTATTCGTTGTCAAATGGGAGAGGAAAGCAGAGATCAAGGAGACTCCAGGTATGATTGATTTTTATGTAAAAAATGATAAACGAACAAAAGAGCTGATGATTGATTTAGGCTTTGTTCTTCAACTTGGAATGTGAAAGATGTCATTTTTTTCCAGGAAATTTTGGATCATTGATTCAGCTAGAGTAAGTGGATCCGAAGAAGAAGAATTCTCTGACAGTCCACTCAATGATCAAAGGGAACAAGTCAACCAAGTTTCTGAAGTCTCCACTGCTCTTGAAAATGTCAAAGAATCGTTCTCTAAGACACAACCAAACATCTATTGGGATTCAGATGACTCAGAGTTTCTTGATATGATAGATTGCTTGCCAGAAGAAACTCGTCTGTCATACTATAAACGCATGAAACTTCGGAGAGGCATCAGAGAGCAACGGTTGTTAAATCGATCAAGAGGCCTGAAAAGAAAGAAATCCTTACAAAATAAGGCTGGCGAGTCGAAGTGTCAGAAATTGGAAATGGTCTACTCTCAGAGAAAAACCTGTCAAATTTATGAGAACGAAGAGGATCATTCAGGGTATGATACTGACAGTGAAGATGAAGAGGGTGATTCTGGAAAGAGCAAATATTCTAGCACCGTAGAAGAAGGAAACTCTTTGCTTGAAACACCTAAGCATGAAGCTGCCATCACTTCGGCTGCTGCTGATCAGGTTGGAGCCTCAGAAGATGTTGATGATGATGAATCTGACTACCCGGAATTTGATTCAGACTTCGAAGTGGACGATCCGATGTTCTTCAGAGATGATGACACAATGCCTTTACCTGATTTTGAGCCAATGGTGGATATGAATGAAGAAAATGACGCCGGTGAAGACCGTATTTACAGGCGGGAACGTAAGTCGCTATAATCTTTAAAATACCTTTCAAATTTTTTCAAACCCTGTGTCATTGTCCCTAGCATGCAATATCTCGATCACCAACTCATAACATTATCCAAAATAATTAGGCTGGTGAATTTCATCGTTTTCTTTAATGCCAGTCAACCGATTTCAATATTCTAGCTTCTTGTAATAATTAAAGCATTTTGATATCAATCAAAAATAAACGATTTAAAATAAGAAAAATCATTGCATCCTTAATGCATCTCTTTGACACAAGAATGGAACAAATATTGAAAGAATAATGGAGGAACGTTATTTTATAGGCGATGAAGATGACCTTGATGAAGACAGCGACGATGGATACGAATCAGACCAAGAGGATGCAAGAAAAGGTTTTGCTCTAATACCAACACAGCAAGGCATGGCCATCAGATTCAAGAACTTTCAATCAATCGTACCATATCTCAACTCCTTGCTGCCAGGGCAACTTAGCCAGAGCGGAGTCTTAAACTTGCACTATCATCCTTCAACATATCCATTCACGAGAAATTCGCTCTTCAATTTCCAACGCAACATCGCTGCTGCTTTTGATCAACCATTGATAGATGAAGTTATAGTTATTGACAGCGATTCGGAAGATGAATCTGATGAAGCTGTAACTATTGGCAGCGATTCTGAAGATGAAACGAATGAGGTAATAACTATTGAAAGTGATTCAGAAGATGAATCTCAAGAAGATGATTTGCCTCAGCAACAAATTGACAACAGGGAGGATGTATCTGCAGGAAATGCTTCTTACGACTCATTACCACGATATGACTCTGGAAACATTGAACATGAAGAGTTGATCGATGAAGCAAGTGATGGGTCTGTTGAAAACCTGAACTCACAGGAAATGACATTGGAGAACCTTATATTAGAAGAGCAGCCACAACATCAATGGTATCTTGTAAGCAGCATACGCCCGTTGGTGCAAAGCAGTCTTGTAAACGAACAACCAAATGAAGTTTTCCTAGCAGAGAATCCGGCCTCTGACAAGATGCCCCCTTGCAGTGATGCAGAATGCCAAACTGATGATAATTTGGAAGATCATGAGGAAGAAGAGTGTTACCTCTGTGAAACAGATCAATATCGATTTTATGGTCAGGAAGAGGTATGTCAAAAAAGAATGAAGTTTTGCTTGGATATCTTATTTGAATGTTAACGTCTGATGTTATACGTTTAATATTATACGTTTAATGTTACAGATGTTAATATTATATATTAACATCTGTAACATTAATATTATACGTTTCTCTAATTTGATGATGTAAGGATCCGAAGGAACAACAATGACGGATAAGAATAGCTTAGACTTTTCAAGAGAAGTTGATATTTTCTCTTTACTTTGCAAAATAACTTTTAATCGTCCCGCGATAAACTACAGATCCAGCATCGATTCGGGGAAAAGGGGGGATTCGAATTAGCAGGGTCAGCGTAAAGTTATCAATGGCAAAAACCAAATTTTGACACAACAATTTTATCTGGGATTCTAAACACAACCTACAATTTATAGTAGTCTAACAAGTTGGAAACAGTACCGTTACCCATTAGAGCAGTATTCCTGACATTGAAAGCTATATGTAAATATAGTCCTCTGACCAAGTAAAGTATGGTGGAATTGGGGTTTTCCTCGATTTTAGAGATAACAGTTCTGTATTAGTTAAATTTGTGATGAAATGGACTCAAAACATTAATCTCCAATTGCAGGTAGAACGCGGCCTTCCTGAAAGAATCTCTTTCGAGCAACAACATGTTAGTGCCGACCAACAACAATTGTATATCAGGGGCATGGAAACAAATGACGTCAAAAGAAGTTCTGAATCGCATCCTACCCTCGAAGAATCATACGAACATAGTGTTCACACTTATGAAGAGAGATGTAGGATGTCAGAGAGACAGCTCACAGGCAGTCAGACAGAAGTGATTGACTGTTCTTGTTCCAGCAACCGATGCAGTGAAGACTGCTTCATAGATCAATGCAGTGATGTCGACTTTCCACTGTTTCAGCAATTTCGATGAAATTGAAAGAGTCTTAATGACATCATTTCAAAAATTATGACGAGAAATCAGATATAAACGAGCTTTCAAACTTTAGGACATAAAATATAAACTCTCTTTCTAGTTACAATATGGCACAGCAAGGTTAACGATAAAAGATATTTTACTATTTCAAAATACAGCTGTAGCAGCTTGTCTTCTATATCAGATATGTACAGTTGACAAAGTGGTTGTAATCAATTGAGTAAAATTACGAAGGTTCAGATTGCCTTTGAATTATATTCAGTCAAGTTTTGTAGAATTGTAAAAAATAATTGAATTAATCGTGAATTATATAGCTACATATAAATTTTCAAGATTGTTTATAACAAAACTTCTTCTGTCAACAGCATGTTTATAAACCGTTGAAAATGTCAACATGGAAATAATAGTAAACTGGCGTTCAGGATGCTTCTACTCTGAGAACAAATCAAGGTCAAGGACAATTAATCAATAAGCCTGTTAGTGGAATAGGGTCTCTTCTTTTAGGAAAATTAAATTTGATATCCTGTCTTCCCTTGTCATAGGCTCTTTCAATAAAATCATAATTACTGAAATATATGCATAACATATCCCAACATCAGGCAAAGTATCAATATTACTACTCGTTTCCAAACTAAGCTGTTAACTGTTTCGGTGTTCAGTGATACGATACAGTAAATATTTTGGCTTAAACAATCTCGCCTCGTTTCAAAAAAGGAGGCTAGCACGACTGATATCTTTTTGGTTTCAACTCAAATAGTAAACTTAATGCAGCCAAGTTTTGTCCATGTAGTCAAATAGCATGCATTATAAAAATGAGTAATATTATTTCATTTAGAAAAGAAAAGACAGTTGAAAATGTTTCTGTTATATGAGAAAACTGTTTGCCAGCCAGCCAGCGGATCTTACGTTATACTATCAGCATAGAACCCGTTACCATTGTTACAAAAACAATTTTCTTTCTGGGAACCTTTTAAACTTTTTGATTATCATATTTTGCCAGCTGAAGATATGGCATCAAAAATACCCACAAAAACTGATCACTTCTAATTTATCTGCATTTGCAATTTTAATTGACTTACAGTTTGAAGGGCAATAGATCCAAGATACAATGGCACTGCCAGCCTCCTTCTTTGAAGGCCTGGTGCTATTTTTAACAAAGAACTACAAGTTTTGTCCATCACTTTGCGTTTAGGACAATTCTTTTTGCAAAAGCAATAAGATTAGTTTTTGTAAAATTTTCATATCGTATCTAACTTGCCGCTTAAGTTGGAAGTATGGAATTCATATCTTTTACTATGCAATAGTTTAGGACTTTGCCATCCTTTCTACAAGGTTAGTCATTTCAGAATAAAAAACAAGAGAGACAACAGTTTTCCCTTTACAATTTTTAATCTTATTAACAAATTAGAAGCGAAGTTTTTGGAAAAACCATTTGTTCTTTCCAGTCTTGTACCTGCATAAGAAAATGCAAACAAGTATCAAAATGACTGATGACAAGTTTTGTATCAAAGAGACTGAAAAGAGACAAATGCTAGAAAAGTTCAAAAGCAAGCAGTCACAAATCAAAGCCTATTTTAAAATTTGCTGCACATGATTTGTTATGGGGCTTGTTTACCTCTATCCACGTTGACTGAAAGTGACTGGACTGCAATGTACCATTTGAAAGTGACTGCACTACTTTTGGTCCACTAATTATGATAGGCAGGGAAGGTTGGGTGGGTGACTTGCTAAATCCCAACCCAAGTTTTGCTAAATGTAGACAATTCATTGATTTTCCCATTACTGATAAACTGCTCACTTAGACATAAAATAATGTCTAAAGGATTCAGGAAAAGTTGGGTTTACCCAAAATGGACAGATACTCTACTATCAGCTTGCCTTAAACCCAAACACAGTAAAAAGTTGAATTATTTTAAGTCTTGTCCTAGATTACTCAGGCTTTCACTAGGTCAAACTGATTTTCAACTCCCATTGTTTACAGGGAGCACCCCCAGAAAAGCCAGACATTTGCTAAAGTCGCACAATTTCCTTACTCATTGAAGGTCAAACTACCAAATTTAATTGTAGTTTGAAGAATATTGCGCTGTCCTTGAATAAGTATAGCAACCGACATTGTAAAAAACACCAGCAACTTGGCAACTTATTTCAAGTAATTGTATTGCATGTTTTCTGGCCTCAGTGATAAGCAACAATATCAAAGAGGAATCCTGGCATGCCATTTCACTGGAAACTACACATTGTATATATTTACTTAGAAAATTCACAATATAAACACATCCATTTGTGCATTTATCTGATAAACAGGCTATACAAAAAGGCTATACATACCTTTCTTCCAATTTTGATTTCACTTCCATTTTGGCTTTTCTTCTTTTACTTGAGTCTTTCAAGGCATCTTTGTTTACAACAGCCTTGTCAACATTGACATCAAGTGAATATCTAAAGACAATAAAGATAACCATTTACATTTTTATTACAAAACATCATGTGAAAGGTCTGACTTTTTGGAATTTTCAGACATAGTGGAATGTGTTTAGCTTGGCTCACATATATCTTAAATTTCCTCTTTCAAAAACATACATTATTATAAAAAATAGAAAACAAGTACCATTAAAATAAAATACAAATAAAAGATAAGCATAATTAAATACAGCTTAATTTTCACTGCAGCTTAATCAAGAAATAAACAAAAGAAGGAGAGGAGGCAATTTTTCCTGATGCATAATTTGCAGTACATCATTTCTTTCACAGGGCTTGTTTACCTCTACAAATGGTGACTGAAAGAGATTGGACTGCAATGTAACAATGACAACTTTTGGTCCACTAATTATGATAGGCAGGGGAGGTCAGGTGACAAACAACCCATATCTTGCTCAATGTAGACAAGTCATTGATTCTTGAAAACTGCCCAGGTGGACATAAAATAATGTCTCAAGGCTTCAAGAAAGTTGGGTTTACCCAAGTGCTACAAGAAAAGTAGAGCATGGACAGACATTCTACTCCCAGCTTGCCTTGAACCCAAACACAGTAATGAGTAAACAGTTGAATCCATTTGAGTCTTGTCCCAGATTACCCAGGCATTCACTAGGTCGATTGATTTTAAACCCCCATTGTTGACCAGGAACACCCTGGTAAAGCCAGAAATTTTTTAAGTTGCATCAACTTAACTGGACAAAACTGTAGTTTGAAGAATAGGAGCCTGTCCTTGAATAAGTATAGCAACTGACATTATAAAAAACACCAGCAACTTGGCAACCTATTTCAAGTAATAATATTGCATGTTTTCTGGCCTCAATGATAAGCAACAACATCAAAGAGGAATCCTGGCATGCCATTTCATTGAAAACTGCACATTATATATATATATACTTTGAGAATTCACAATAAATGTAGCTAATGAAAGACTTTATAAAAGGTGGCTAAAATTGTGTCTTTGTTATTTAGTAAGGTGAGCAATATGAGAAATAGATATTCAATACTGTGGGTTATCCACAAATATGTATCCTTAGAAAAGGAGAGAGTGAAGGGAGAAGGGTCAGAAAATCATGACATCCTGCTTTCCATTACATTAAAAACACCCCTTAGTGCAACACCAATACCCCTTAGTGCAATAGAAAACCTCTTTCAAGGTCTTACCTTTTTTACATAATCACTTACTTTTACAATGGTAGTTTATCTTTATTAACTAACAGTTATGCAAATAATGTATATGAAAAACAGCATAGGGTAATGGTAGAGCCCTAATTTTACAAAAAAACAAAATATTTAATGCATACAAATACAGAATCAAACACATCTAAAACTTCTTGCAGCTTTTGAAGGTACACCCTAACAATCACCTACTATACAATATAGAAACCATAACAAGTACGAAAAGAAATGTAATAACCTGGTTGGCATCATATGATTGTAATTGCAAACTTTGACAAATGTCTTGATCCTGGATCTTTTGGCTGCCCTTTTCTTGCCCATTGGCTTTGTGATTTTCAATGGGTATCTATCAATGCCAGCAACAATAGCATGTCCATATGGCTTTTCCTGGCTACCATCATCATAATTTTTTACAATGACTGCCTTCCTCCCTGCATATTTTCCTCCAAGCAAGAGAACAACTTTGCCAGATTTCATGAACTTCCCCATGACTCTGTAAATTGAATTTAACAGATTTATCAACAAACCTTCTATAAACTAAAGAATGAAGAAGAAGGGAAGACCTTGTTTGTATTACTTATAAGACCAAAAGATGAATGCTCTGCTCTTCATAAAAATTTTACAATGGTGCATTTCCAGCCTTTTTTATAAACATGAAAATTGTAAAGACCAAATATATATATATATATTTCATTTCCAAGACCAAATAATACAGAATTTCTGAGGAATCTTTTTACAGTTTTTTTACAGTCTGAGGAATTTGTACAAGTCTAAAATATCTAATAATACCAAATACCAAGATGACTTCAACAGGCCTTATAGAAAGGCTTGATGATATCTGGATGGATAGATACTTTGCTAAGGTTGAGAATTTTTTTTGCAAACTTGCAACCATTTTTGCAACCTAGTTTAATGTGCAGGAAAATGCAGAGCCGGTAAGGGGCATTGCAGAGCGACATTTGCCTTTTGATGTGATGAGTGACTGAATTATTATGTTAGGTACTTGTAGAAAAACAAAGGGAATTACAAACATTGTGGTTACAAAGGCATTGCAAGGTGTAAATGGCAGACCTCATCTGCCAAAGAGAATCGAGCAAAGCATGTGCGCATAAATAAAAAAAATGTGACAAAGATTTTTGCAAATATTGGTGGCCTAAACAATGATAACTGCAGTTATACTTGGCAGAGGTGAAGTGGTGCAACTACACATAGAAAGTTCTACAAAAATCTTTGGACCTATTAGATTCACCCTGGTGAATTAAGATAGAACCTATTGGCACTGTACAAGGGAAAGTTCAAACTTCAATTGCCTAAAAATTATATACAAATAAATTACTAAATCATGGGACAACGTCAAAAATAAATAGCTCTATTGAAAAATTGTCAAAACTTGTAAAATAGAAAAGGGCACTGTGCCAAAAAAATCAAAAACATGAGCTAAATCTTATGCTAGTATAGAGAGCCCAGACTGGAAACTTTGTTGCATGCCCCAATAAATTGCCTGCACACACATCTGTGCACTTTTGTATACTGGCTGATCAAAATCCCTAGATAAAAACATTTTAAATCATCAACTGTAAAAATAACTAAGAGTATATGACTCAGGTATGCAGTCTCAAATTTTCAAGGTAAACTTGTCTGGGCAAGAGACAAAATATCCAGTCTGGCAGTGAGCAAGCTTATGCCTGGCATTTAAGAATTTTGGAGGTGCTTTGATGTCCCATCAATGGAAATTCGAGTTTTACAGGCCAAGAAAGCCTAAAAATAAATTTTTATTTTCACATAAGCAGTAATTCAATTGTTCTTGAAAGCTTATAACAGTAGGAATACAAAAAAACCAACTGCTTATCAGTTACAGTTCATTCAAGATTTCTATAGCATGTTGTCTGGCCTAGGTGGTAATAAACTGTACCAACTAAGAATTCGTACATGCATTTCGTAATATCAGAAAATATCTAAAGCTTATCAACTTCTACCAATCACGCCGAGACCCTGAAAAATAAACTTATTCTAAGCAAGTTTCAACGCACTTCAAGCTTTAATGGCAGCATTATATCATTTTAAACACAATATTAACATTGGCTTAGATGACAGCTAAACTAAACGGCTGGCTGAGCTGGATATTAGGCCAGTGACAAATGAACGACGTGTTGGCTAAAAACAGAAAATTTACCGGAAACCTATAACGTTTCGAGCGAATATGTTACCAGAACGTTAATAACTTTACCAACGAAGCTTGAATCGCATTTTGTCATCAAACTTTTTAAGTACGGAAGGTAGATTGAATGGATTCAAGTTTTAAGTAGAAACTTACACTGGAAGTTTAGTCCACCATGTAAAAGAAGGCTCATAGGCCTCGCTTACAATATGAGCAAGTCCTATCCCGAAAACGAGGTCTTTCGTCTCGTTGCAAAAATAGGCCTAACAGCTTACTGCATTGGCCCTAGGAAAGAAGTGGAAAAATGAAAACGAAATTATTTGGAATCGTCGTCTCAAATAGCAGCTGAAGATGAAAAGAAGTGATGTTCAGGACTTTGTGCGGTTGGAATATAAAAAGTACAAGAGGAAAAAGCCTCCGCCGAATTTTAGTGACGTGATTGACTTCGATGAAGTCGAAAATTTTGAAAATAAAATAGAGCGCGAATGTCATTTGAACACAGAAGAACATTTGGTTGCTGAATGCTGTAAACTTGGCCTAAAAAACCCGACGAAATGGAAAGCATATTGGATGAAATCTTGTCCTGGTTTCATGTTTGTGAGAAATCCGTTTCTTTCTCAGTCTCAGAAGTATTGGACTCATCAAGCACTTACAGATTATACGAAAAAACCTTTTCCTTGTAATCTAGATGTACATATGAAGCTGGATGATTCTAAGACTATCTGGGAAATAAGCCAAGAGTTAGTACTCCTTATTTTGCTGCAGCAATTTTAGTTTTTCAATATTATTTTCAATAATATCATAAAAGAAACTCTATTGATAATATGGTTTGTTTCTTGATAACCCAGAATGTGGGGCACTTTTTTGGAAGGATCAAAGTTTTGCCAAAAGTGCTTCATTGAAAGTGTGGTTAGGGATTTCTGCAGCGCAGACATAAAATATGTTATATTATGTACTTGAAATGGAATGAGTGTCAGGTAGCTCAGCTTGATCAATTAATTTGTCTATTTACTAAGAAAATATACCAGGCAATCACAGTGATAGAAATATTATAGTTAAAAAATAAGTGGAGTACCAGAAAGAATGAAAATAAAACAGTTTGAATGTTATAAAACATAGCATTTTAATTTCATTCTTGTACTCAATTTATTTGCTAACTATATTATTGTTATTTTGGATGAAGTACCACACCCAACCTACATATTACAGTGATAGCAGATGAGGAAAAGTTCCTCCTTAACAAGTTTACTTGTTAAAAAGGCAAATATTGTTAAATAAAAGTGTTTCCTATCTCTTTGACTGTTATGATCTTTGACTGCTGCATGCTGCACTGGTAGTTTGCAGTACTTCCAGCCAAGCTCAAAACTGATATTCGCACAGGCAAGCCAGTTGCAGACTTGTTTTTGCATATACCAGAACAATACAGAGGGTGGAAACAAAAGGTCAACGGCACAATGCATGTTTTTGCTGGCTCAGCAATTTAAACACCATATAAGCAGGCAATGTCTCCAAGGTGCAAAGTAAAGTTTCAAATCTGGCCTTCTAGACAAAAGCTCTCTTTACAAATCCAAGTTGTCCTAAGAGGGCTTTCTAGCACTTTGAATTTCTTTTATCTCCACTTAAGTCTAGGTTATAATATTCTGGATTCTGGACCTCTTATCTTTCTTTCCCCTGGAAACTCTTTCATTCGCAAAAAATCAAGCAAATATGCATTCTACTTAGTTGCTTAAACTTCCAAAATTATCTTGTCAACTATTATAGTTCCTAATGTCAAATGCCATTGGTAGTGTACATCAGTGTGCAAATGATGCAATTTTAAAACTGGATGTGCAAAGGATGAAAAATAATTCAGATCTTTGAGTGAAGCGAAATATCTCAGATGTACAAGAAATGCACTTTTCATGCTAGCCCCAGTTTCCCACTCAATATCTGATAAACAAAATCTGTGCACCTTGCATTTTAAACATTTGTCTAGATTTTCAAGTATCCCCTCATTGCTATGCTGGTCTGAGTTAAAAACTGTTTCTTTGTCAGAATGCAAAAAATTATTGTTGTTATGTTGATAGCTGCTTGTTTAGTGTCTATGGGAACACAACTGATGTAGACACAAGATAAATCCATCCATGAATAATGTGTTGTTTCCAAACCAAGCGAGTCCTATTTAACGTGTGGAAAACACAGAGCCAGAGAAGAAACAATGTGCCTATTGAGTGTCTTGATTCTGACTGAACCAAAATTGCTTGTAAATTAACAAACGTATATACAGAAATGCATTAATATACTTAACACAGAAAATGCAAAAAGAAAAAATGGTGGGAAGAGTGAGTAAAGGGGAGGAGTAAATTGAATAGCATGGCAAAGATAGGGTAAACAATAGGGATTAGTGAATATGTGATATGAGAGTGACGAAGTGGATGCCTGTGCTGCGTTGTGAGAATGTGATGGAATGAATGAGAAGAAAAAATTAATGTGAATAGGCCTAAGCTGAGTCACTGCACTTTTTGCCAACTTTAAATTGGTGTTCTACAGTATCTTGAAAACAATTTACAGATGGTTAAGAATTATTAAAATTCTGAAAAAGTAATTCAAATAAATATTGTACTAAACATTAATTTCTTTCCAGAGAAAGCCCATTGAATCCATACAGTTTTATGGAAAGATTGAGATGGTCGCACCTTGGATACCATTTTGATTACAACTATGTGAACTATAAAGAAGAAAAGTATTATGGTTTTCCAGATAATCTATCCATGCTTATGAAGTGCATTGCACAAGTACTTGGTTTTAGAAGCTATGTTCCAGAGACTGCTATAGTGAATTACTATCCCATTGGAAGTAGCATGGGTGGACACACTGATCATTATGAAGAGGAACTGGATGCACCATTGATCTCTGTGAGTTTTGGCCAACCAGCTGTTTTTTTGATTGGTGGAAAGACAAAGGATATTAAGCCTGAAGGTATGTGTCGTGTTAATAAACAATGGAAAGAACTTTGTTCTTTCTCTGAAGCAGCCTACAGTGGGAGGGAGGGGGCAGGGACAGCCCTGATAAATAAGTGTAAAACAGCCATATTTTACAAAAGAAATGTTTCCTGAATTTATCAATTTTATTAGCTATAAGCCATTTATTTTGTATTTTGCCAAGTTACTATTATTTATTCATTCCTTTTCTAGACAACACAATTTTATCAATATTTCAGGGCTGATTTGCTAATAGGCTGTTAAAAAAGGGTTTATAGACTAGCATAAAAAATTAGATTTATTCCTGTTTGTAAACTTATAATTTTAAAGCATTTTGAATTTATTTCCATAGCCATTTGGATTCGAAGTGGAGACATTGTAATTATGTCAGGGGAATCAAGGGTAGCATATCATGCTGTACCATGCATTATAAAAGAAGGTTTGGATGGCAAGCCCCCTGAAGCTCTTCAATATGACGGTTCTAGAGAAACAAAGTGCGATTGTGCAACAGTTCAAGACATTGAAGGCCAGTCAACAGTGAAAGAGTGTATGAACATTGAAGGCAGCACCTCTGATCTAGAATGTCAATTTAGCTGTAAGGGAGACAATCATTTATGGACAAGTCTTACTCTGTCAAAGAAAGACTGGGAACCTTTTGCTAGTTATTTGTCGAAAACTAGGATTAACATTAATGTAAGGCAAGTTCACAAAAGGTAGAATTTAGCACAATGATTTGCAATATGATATTTTATATTTTCGAAACTTTATGAATGAGCATGAATGTAAAGCCATCCAAAAAAGCATTTCCTGTGGGTTGTTTTAAATCAGCAGATGGCTTCAATCTGTGGATACCTTGCCAAATCATACAACAATTTGTTTCTTCTATTTTCATATTGGAATAATGGTCATCTCAAACAATGTTGTTAGCCATTTGCTGTTTGACTATTTGATGCAGTCATAACAATACGTTTTTAGAATTTTTTAAGTTTTAAGTGAGCTTAAAAGAACACAATGAAATACATCTAAAGGTGGCAAATCAGGTTCATCTATGACAGATTACTTAATTATAGACTCATTCATCATCATCATTGTCATCATCATCAACCAGTTTTTATCTGGGGGTTTCCACTTAGAAGCAGGTGGCCGGATGTACTTATGTCCTGCAGCGATTCTTTCTATTTCAAATTACTTTCCATGTCTTCTTTCACCAAAACAACCTTCATTCCTCCTCCATCTGTCCTTTCCATGTTTTCCTGGGCCTTTCTCTCCCTTTTTGTCCTTTTACCTTGAAGTCCACATCTTCTTCAAGATGTTTCCTTCTGGTCTTCAAAGTATATGTCCCAAACATCTTTCTACTTTGCCTAGAGTCTCACTGTCCTGAGCCTAGTTTATTTTCTGGCATTCTTCTTATCAATTTCATTTTATTTATTTCAGGTTTCATTTTGCAAATGGAGAATAATGTAATTTGTTGAACTTGGAGTATTAGAAACATCTCTTACAAGAGTTTTTAGATTTGCTTGGTGAAAATTTTTAAATTTAATATTTTCTAATTAGAGTTAGATAAAATATCACCTTGTATAGTTTGCATTCAAGATGATTCTTCAAAACTGACTGGTTTAGTGCTATTTCACTGATATTTTGAAGAAAAACAAAACATTTCAATAGAATGCAGGAGTTTCAAAGTAAAGGTCTAACTTCTAACTCCATAAATTTATTGACTTTCAAACAGTAAGCTTTGAAGCAAACATACCATTCTTCTCGGGTGGGAGTAGAAGTGCTCCCAACCAAAATGTTGCTCACTATCCAAAATATAATTGCCAAATGCTAACGTCTTGCCAGAATAATTACAAGTGTATTCTTTAGCACTACCACTGCTGAGTTCTAGTGCACCATGTGTGTGGAAAGGGAGTAAAAAAGACCAAAATAAATTTGCAGAACTTGTGAAGCCGACACTTAGCATATATCTGCATTTGTCAATACTATCGTCAAAGTCTGACAATGGCAGAAGACCCATGTTTAAACTTTTTGCTATAAGAAAAAAAAACCAAATTCAAATCCTTAAATCCGGACATTGATTCGCTACACTGGCTGTCCTCATAGAGTGTAGAACGCAGTTAGTTGATTTCAATGGAAAGCTTTCTCGTTCTGCAATAATTTCTTTTGGTGCTCCTCAGGGCTCCATCCACGGACCACTTCTGTTCTTCTTGTATGTGAATGATCTACCAAGCCTTATTGATTCCAAAACTGATTATTCCTGATGATACAACTATCCTGTCACATGGGCCCTCCCACAGTAGTCTTACTCCAATCATTCAAAAGGACTTGGACAGTGTTAGTCTATACTCTTCTATAAACCATCTTGTCCCTCATTCTACCAAGACAGAAGTAATTATCTTCAGTAAGCCGTCACAAGCAACAATGTTTAAAGACCGTGCCGTCCTATCAGTGGCGGATCCAGACTACCGCCATTACCGCTCGAGCGGTAGTCAGATTATTCAAAAAATTATAGAAACAAGGATCATTCTCATGTTTATCCTACTACTTTAATTAAACCATAATTAATTATTGAAAATATTTGATCGCGCTGCAAACCAAGCCTTTCTTCCTAGGAACATGCCTGAAATTTCCACAGAGACAGAAATATGTTTTAATCCATATCGCTATGGAACTTGCGTGCCAATTGCCGAGCCACATGTTTGCAAATAGAAGGCTAGCATGGGGGGATGATGAAATAATGGCTTGCTAGCTAGGGGGGTTGAGTCGGTGTAGAGCGGATTCGAGCTGCACTGAGCGGTAGTCAGCTTGCCTAAACCAATCAAATCGTCAGAAATCACTGCCAACCTGGGGGGATGCATACAAATTTTGTTGACAACCAATGAACAACCGAGTTGACTACCGCTCAGATGGGGGGTTGAAGTAGTACTGCCGCTCAACGCGGCTCAAACGTTACAGAAAGATGGGGGGATGCCTACATATTCTGCAAGTGGGCAAACTGTAACTTCAAAGCCGATGTGACCCATTATTCTGTACAATACACAACTATTCGTAGGAATATATTTTAAAAGAATATTAAATTAAAAGTCAGGCCCACAATATTCGCCAAAAGTATGATTCTTTGTTTAACAAAAGTTGCTCTCAATAATTGCAAATTTTATCTAGCTTTTTAAACTTAGTAATTTTCAACAGGTCTGATTTTCATAAGTAATTGTCCGACTAAATGCGAGTTTTAGGCGACACTTCGAAATTCTGCCAAATTGTTCTTTTTTCCTAATTCGATGGTGTTCCTCGTCTAAATGCCGTAAATTTTTTTAGAATATCCATCCTCAGAATATTGAATAAGATTATTTATTTCTTCTCAAGCTTGTTGTAAGGATACATGAAATTTTAGTAAAGCACCGCTTGTCTCTTGAAAATGGTCTACATAGGAAATTATAGAAAGCAATAATCATTTTAGAAAACCGGGTGTGACCAAGAAATGGGTGTGGTCTAAAGGGTGTGGTCAACCCTCTATCTCATTTCGGCGGTAGTCAGATTTTTGGCTGGATCCGCCACTGGTTCTATCCCTCAACAATGCAGAAATTGAATATGTCAACTGTTACAAGTGTCTTGGGTTCTCATTAGAGCAACACTTTGACTACTCTTTACATGTCAAAGATACCTGTAAAAAATCAATTATGGCCTTCGAATAATAAGACGTGTTAAACCTTTTGTGCCGGAGAGTAGTTTGATCCTCTTTGTCAACTCTTTTGTCCTAAGCCATTTGGATTATTGCTCGCCAGTCCTGTATAACCTTAGCGCTGGCCAGAAGCGATGTGCTCGTTTGATCTATATCTTTAACAGAAGGACACCTAGCAAGCCTTTATTTATTAAACTTTATTGGCTACCTCTCAGTCTTTATAGGAGCTGCGCCATACATACATACATACATACAAAAAAAATCCTATTAATGTCACAGCGTAGCAAGACAAGAAAAAACAGAGTGAAACCAATCACATTATGTAGTGTTTCTCAATATATAAATTAATTGGCGTAGTCCTATGTTGACCACAATGCTAGTACATAGGTAGGAAATATATTCTCAATTACGAAATAATAAATAATCGCAAATGGGCGCTACACAAAACACAGTCCTTCAAAATCAAATCTGTAAGTCACTCTAAACAAATGCTATCAAAGAAACCAGGCTCAAATCGACTCTGTACTTTCATACAACATATCTCTACGTTTAGGGTACTCCTTTTGTCTCAAAATATTTTCTTTATTGGTAATTTGCTCCGTTGTGTGCCCTGCTTTTTATGGGAGTAGCCCCGAAGAGTGCTACAGTAATCGCATATTCTGAGTTATTGAAAACCGTTAAATATACTTACAGAGATTGGATACTCTTCTACATAATCTAAATATTCACTAGATAAAGGGCCTAGACATGGGAAACTTATAAGCGAGGATACAATAAAAAAGGCAGGCATGGTTTTCAAATAAAAGTAGTTAATCGTGACAGGAGTAGGCTTAAGGAATACTGAAGGGTGAGAAACAATGGGCGAAAAATGGTTTGAGATACAGAACGACAAAGAAACGTTTCTTCAACTTAGAGACCTATGGGAGGCTTTCTAAAGTGGGGGTAGCAAAAAAGTAGGAAACCAGAATTTATGTTCTCAAATCCTTAATTAAGATTCGCAATTAGAACAAACACAACTGGGCTTATCATAAGAAAATACATATTCCTCGACAATTACCAATACTTTGGACAACTTCTAGGGGACTTGCGTGGAACAAGAAACTTACCCGTCAAAGATTCTGAAGGATCGGGGGGGGGGGGGGGGATGAAATGATTACATTTGTACAGACGTGAAATCTATCCAGATCATTTCAACTTTCAAAGTTAATTTTTCCCCAAATATCAACAGCAAATTTCTCCGAAGGAAAGCCGTCAAAAAAATTCTTATGGCTCTGTTTCTGACGCCCATTCCTGTTCCTACGCATCTATGCAATATGCACACGTCATCTTTCTTGCCCCAACTCTCCTTTTAAAAAAGGCTGCACAGCGATCACAAACACTGTCTGCTGCTTTTCAGGATCTATTGAACGACTTTCAAGTTTTAAGTATTTCTACAAATTTGACGGAATCGCGGTTTGTAAAAGCCTACATAATACGAAGGTCTCTAATAGATGGAACACACGTTCAGTTTGAATTCTAATCACATTCAACACGACGGTTAAAACTTCAGGTATTGGTGAATCATCAACGAGGGCTTTGACGAGATGACGATTTTCTTAGTTCCCATGGACCTGAAAACAAAAATAAAATCAAAAACATATTGAAAAAGCTAAATACCAATGATTCAGATACCGTACTTGATCCATTAAACACCCAGACGTTTATTAAAAATGTTGGCCTTTAGGAAGGGCGATTATTTTAGAAGGGCGTTTATTACGGTAGATAAAGATACTAACAAAGTACATCAGCTAATGCGACGGTCTCTCTAGAATAATAGCATGGTTTAGCTATCTGAATCAATTGAGCAATTTTCTTATTCGCCAAATTTTGCAACTACTGGAAATTATCAATGCTGAAAGAAAAATTTGTCAACTTACTTTCTCCATGAGAATGGAAGGCCGGTGATGATCGGTTGCGGTTCATTAACGCCTGGATTTCTGCTTCGCGACCGGAAAGATTTGGCGGGGTGCCAGTCCGTACCGCTTGTGGCAGCCGGCGACCCTAAAAGTGACATCAAAATACGATGGATTTACCATACGAGAGTAAATGATTTGGGAATGACTATAGAAAATAACCTATGGAATTATTTAGGGGGGAGGGGGGGGGAGCAAAAAATCACTTTTTGTACCACTATCATGTTGTTGGCATAATTCTTGGCTTAATAATAAAAATATTTCGAATTTTATCTATCTTAGCAAAAAAAGGGGAGGGGGAAAAAACAAGGGTTAACAACATTTGCCGAGGAGGCAGAATATCAAGAAAGTCGCTTTTCGAAAAGAAAGTAAAATATCCCAATGTAGAAAATCAAATAAAAACGAACCTTCTCTGCTGATGAACTACCCGTAATCATGTTCAGCCTATCCATGCTGGCACTACTCCGCAAATTGTGTTCTTGGAAGGCCATGTTGTGTGTGCTTTCAACGTACATCGAGGCACGTCGTGGATCATCGCTTGAAAGGGAAAGTTGAGAGTTGTTCCTTAACATAATCTTGACTTTAAGCCCATGTGAGCAGAAAACAATGGAGAATAACGTCTCCCCCAATGTCCCTCCCAACGCCTCCCAATGTCCCTTACAAAAGTCATGAAAAAATAGCAAATGAACATATTTTTGTGTCAACATCAAAAACATTTCTAGCACACATTCTAACTCAAATATTAAGAAAAACAACAAAAGAAACACAGAAATTTGAAAATGAACAGACCTCCCCCTAGAACTACGCGTTCTTGGCAAAGTGTCTGAGCCAACAGCATTCTTAATTCTTTGACTCACGCCACTTCCTCCAACAATTGCTTCCCCGTCAGACCTCAATCCGCCTCTTATAACCGGGGTCGCTCGATCTGATGAGCCTGCAGGCACTATTGGGATTTTCGATGGCGATGTGGCTCTAATGATGGATGGCGAAGAGATTTGGGAATCCACACTTGTTACTGACAAACTGTTTGAGTTGATAGCTGGCTGATTAGGGTTGTGGCCGGGTCTTATTGGTTTTGCTAAGGTACAAAGAAAGGTACTGATTACGTCAAAAGGGGAAATTTTGCATCCAAATTGCAATAAAAGAGTTAAAAAACTACAAGAAAAATGTCGTAATATTTCAAAAAAGCTATCTTTTTAATACTTCAAACATATCTATTGAAAACAAACATGATCTGTGGACTTACCGATCTGTGGTTGATGGGCTCTTCTCGCTAGAAAATTGAATTCATGATGGCTTTAAAAACAGTGACAGGAGATGACGATGGGTGCAAATTTAACAGTGTCTTGGAATTAATGCAATAAGACATATAATGATCGAAATTGCTTTTTCAAAGAAAAGCAAAGATATGTATAAAGGAAGCAACAGAGAAACTAACGGGCGACGTTCAAAGATGATACTTTTAACTTAGTTGAACCGTTAATGACGAACAAAGATCAGCATTATAATGATTGAGACACACTGGGACTGGATGAATCTCTGGACGAACAGCGAAACCTGTTCACTTGAATTTTGGTTCACTGTCAATTATCAAATATAATGCACCACCGTACGAGATTCACTATGAACTGAGTTGCAGATAAAAGGTATATAAAACCTACATTGGTTTTTAGTATTGTTCTGCTTTAGTCGCTCAACCTCCTTCGCAAACCTGCCAAAGCAAACCAAAATGTGTGAAAAAAGCACCATTAGCAATGCAATAAACATGGCCACATCGAAATATAATCTTGGTTGACAGTGGTAAACCGAAAGAAGACTTTCAAATGCAACATAGGAGAACCAATATGGGGTTCACCGATAATTCATTTTTAGGGACCTTAAAAATTAACCTAGAAGCTATCTTAAAGATTATTCTCGAGCTTTTAACAAAAGGAATTCATGAAAATTTGTACCTATTCTTTTACTTTTTCCACCTATATCGAAAACGTGAGCAAAGATTTAGAGATCTGAAACACTTCATCGAAATCAAATATTTTCCAACAAGCCACAACTTTGCTAGGAAAATTTGTTTATAAAAATTTGGTTTGAGTATGATGCACTGAAACGACAAGTTTCTGCATGGATAATAATTTCAACGCATATTTATGCTTAACAAAAGACTAACCCTTGTTATTAACTTGTTCAGCTCTTGTAGAAAGCCTAGCCACAACTTCCCTAAGGGCCTTTTTCCTGAAGACCGTCAACTGCAGAACTGTAGCTTTATCGACCGAATTTTTTTTTACTTTTATCAAGTATACACTACTCCCAACCAGAGACCTTTCGAGGCCATTCTACTGGTGAGGGTTAAATGCAAAAGAGCATTTTTCTTACTCTGACGCAACTGAGAGTGAAAAAAAAAACAAGGGGGCGAGGGTGCACCATTTACCATAATGACAAAACAAAACAGCAGTAAATTGATAAAATTCACATCCATCTTTGATGCATTTTTCAACAAATAGACATTCACTATTATGGAATCATTGGCAAACTTAAGGGAAATCTAGTGGTTCGAGTGTGAAAATATTCCTGCTTAAAACATTTTGAAAACTTACCTTGACTTATCCTTCATTGCTCCTTCTCGCGCCTCCTTCACTGCGTTCTCTAACGCCCTGACCCTTTCTTGTGTAGCTTTAAGGCGCTTCTCTAATTTAGGTAACTCAAGACGCAAATCTGCATTGTCTCGCACAAGCTGAAATTTAAATATTCGCTCTCAAAGTTTAATATAATGTATTGTTGTAGAATATACATGGCACAGCAATATATGCAACAGCGTTAATATTTCTCGTATAGCAGCTCGGGTTAAGTATGAAAAGAGGAGGTTTAAAATCAATTATTAAGAATTGGCTAGAAAATCCATTTATGCGATACGGTTAGCACCGAATCATCAAAAACACTAAGTTTTATGATTACGATGTCAATTTGCAGACTATGAGCTTCAGATTCTTGAAACAATTGCATGAGACACCTTCTCGCTTAATCGTTTAGGCTAGAAAACTTTTGACAGGAACCTTATGAATCAAACTTTCAATGAAGTCTATATACCTGTTTATGAACTTTTGTCAGTTGCTCCAAATTGTTTTCCAAAAATGTGATTTTCTGCTTCTGAGCATGCGCATTGGCCTCGTCTGCTTCTATGTCTCCATCAGTAGACTGAAGAGAACAATTCAACTCATTTCAAAGCTGTAAGCATAGCAAAAGCCAAGGGGTATTTCACAGCTGATTAACAAGGTGTGATTCGCAAAAAAGCTGTCTTATTTCTGGTCAGTAATTTCTAACTGCAACACTATCAAGTCGTACACCATTGATTGACAAAGATATAAACAATTGATTGACAACTTTAAAACAAAGATGCAGGGACTATAAGAAACGCAAACACAAAACTACTGAGAGTGCTCAACAACAAATGACTGTGGTGCATGTTACAACGTCAGATTAAAGTGAATGGCCTGTGTTAAAAGTAAAGATCTTTAAGCGTTTTCGGCTTGCCAAAAATAGATTTGATAACCATCCAATCGAAATTCGAGAGCCACAGCTCATGCAAGAGGCTCTTTCATCAGTTATCGCCCCAACAAGTTCGGTCATGCCTGACTGTGGTGAACTGAAGATTATTTGTGACACCGGCCTTTTAACTTAGGCTATTCACTTTGAAAGCCGAACAAGGTCGTAAGTCAGGTACCTTAAAGGCAGCTAGTGAAGAGCTAATACCATACATAATCTAAACAAAAAGAGAGCCCACAATTAGCTAATTATTTCAAATGAACTAACTGTCTGCACTAAATACTATTAAGAGAGTCAGATTCTGGCATGAAGCAAAACGATTTAAAGACTAGAAAGAGATGAATTAGAAGTTCTCTGCGTCGAGGACTAGCAAATAACCAAAGAAGAGCACGTTTTGGCAAGAGACAAAAAATAAATGAGAAATTTCAAGGAGTAATAAACCAAGACTTCAGAAATTAATGCGATTAAATTACATATATTTTTATCTTTTATTCATGTACAAAGCCGTAAATTCATTGTATTTATTTTTGCTCATTATTCATCGACGTACAACACGCTGAATTACATTGATTATCAAGACTCCAGAAGAAAATAACTGTTTACCAAAGCAAACAACGACACTAGAGTTCCCTTGAAATTATAGCACAGCGGTAAGAAAGGAGCACTTGGGAAGGTGAAAGTTAGAAAAGTAAGTTGTGTGCCAAATCATTGTGCAACGAGAAATGCGCTGGAGTGCAAAGAGAGTCATTTTCATGTAAAGGTGGCACGAAGCACAGAAGAGATTAGCAAACTCGATTTCGTGTTTGCGTGGCTATTAGACTGACTCAGCCAAGCTAGCTCACATATATTTTGATTGAATACCTGAAATAAGATTGGTTTAGATGATGATCTTGATCATGATCATATAGCATGATCATGGATGAAGTGGGGAATGGATTATATATTACTCAGGTGAATAACGTAATTAACGAAGGTAGAAAATATGATGCAAAATATAGATAGTGAGTGGTGTTGTGTAGGGTGAGAGGGTATGCCACAGATATGGTATGAGAGGTTGATCAAAGAGGTGAAAGCTTGAAGGCTTAAAATACTCCTAATTGCATTTGCTAAGTGCAATCTAATGTGTAATGTTGGTACGAAATAGGCCTGCCTTGAAGAGAATGCACCTGCGACTGGTTCCATTGACAGGTAATGAACAGGTTACTTGATAATGGAAAGGATGCTGTCTAAAGCATGGGCATATACACTTACAGACAAGATGGTAAGTACATATAAATCTGAAATGTCAACGCCATATAAAAGATTGAACAACATAGAAAAGTTATTGCGAAGGAAGCACAAATATCTCTCGCTCCGTGCCAAAAAATTAAAGAATTCCAACGAAGCCAAGAGGTCACAAAGCATGATTTTCCGTTAAGCTACCTTCAATCTGATTGGACACGTCAAGAAAAAAGGACCCACCCAGACGCATAAAATTCCATTAGAAATCTTTCAGTAAAATTTTTCCAGCTGATTGTTATTCCCACACCAGGGGAAACGGACAGCTGCTTACAAAATACACGTAACATTAACGATGGGCAGTACCACTTGACCAAATCCACACCAGTGGACACTTTTATTACCACATCAGCATGGAAGTGTTCTTTTGCTGATAGTGTACAAACAAATACACAAAAAGGGCTATTTCAAAAAGAGAGAGAAACTCACCACTTTCATTCTTGATTGCAAATCTTTAACAAACAGCTGCCTAAGCTTGTTTAATGTGGCCAGTTCTCTTGCCTACAAGGAAAAAAAGAAATTAAATTTATTACATTGTTTCAAACATTATATTTAAAACAGCAAAACTCACAATATTAAATATTTATCACTTCCCGCAATAAATTTAACAATGAAAAAGTTTTCCCTGCCAATAGCCTGTATTTCAATAATCTGAATGTATTCGTGAATTCCGATGATTTTATTGCATGGTAATAAAGAAATGGCAAGTTAAGGTATTCGCGTGATAGCATAAAATATCTACTAGTTTTGGAGGGAGAGCTTTTGAAGGGAGGGCTTTGAAGGTGTGGCTTTTGAAGAGAGGGACTTTAGAGGCAAGGCTTTCGGAAAGAGGGCTTTAAGAGGGAGGGTTTTTTGATTGAGGGATATTTAATGGCAGGGCTTTTAAAGAGAGGACCTATGACAGATCCTTTAGGGAAAGGGCTTTTGGAAAGAGGGTGTCTAGAAGGCTTTTGGATGGAGGGTTTAGAAAGTTAGGGCTTTACGAGGGAGAACCTATGAAAGATCTTTTAGGGAAAGGGCTTTTGAAAAAGAGGGCTTTTAGAGGGGGCTTGAGATAAAATAGGGTAAGCTTACCACTGTCTCTTCGAGTCCTTGCAGATCCTTATGAGCAGTTTCTTTCTTTGTCATTGTTATTCTAAACAAGAGCAAATTGAAAAAGTTAGATCATTTAGAAATCATTAATATATTTGTCTAGATGAAAGCAACATACTGCAAAGCAAAGCGTAACCACAGACAGTTGAAGGGGTACTGCAAAAAATTGTTACAAAATAGCCATATTCGGTAAAATCCTGATATAACGAGCTCTGAGGGGAACCAGTGATTCAATGGAATGGGAGTATGTAAAGCGCAAGGCTAAATAAACTAGATCAAGTCAATCGGGATTCTACTGTAAGGAAAGGTTTTACTGCAAAACAATGAGTACAGGAATCATAGAATGATGTATTGACTGCAAAATAGCGATTCAAAGTTAAAAAGAAAAACAGTAGAAGGACAAAACGTAACTACAACAAAGTACCACTGAAGACAAATTGAAGAAGCAAAATATAAAAATGCAGACTCACTCTAGCTCTTGGATTGTGTCTTTCAAACGGGTAACCTCATCTTGCAACTTGTTGTTATCGCCCTGGAGTTTGAATGCAAATATTAAATGATTGAGCCTATATCGACATTACAATAGTAAATGATTATAAAACACGTATACTATATGGTGCCTAACACAACAGATCATTTGCGATCAACTTATGAATGAATAGTAGCTAGTACTGCCCATCATTAATCCTCTAATTTTATTTGATTTACGGAGGCGCTGATTTCTTGGGGGGGGGGGGGCGTTGACGCCAAAGGGCAATGATTAGTTTTAAATTATTCTGGAAAAACTTTAAGCTATTACTGAGGATATGAGACAGCCAAAATTTTTTAACGATGAGCCTCAGAGGATAGAATTAAAAATACATGCACTTCGAAATTACTTAAAGAAATCTATGCGCAGCTAGAATAGCGTATTTTCAGTAAAGACTAAAGCTAGACTATACAGAAATTTGTCTATAGGCCTTGCATAATCACTGAACCTGTGAGTATCTAGTTGCGGGGTTAGGTGTTCATTAGGACTAGAACAATAATCAAAGTCGATAGTTTTGGGGGGGCGCATATTCGAAAAAGGGGGAAAATCTGAGGATAAATGTTTAGCAAATTTCTAAATCAAATAGCAGAACGTTTGATTAGGTCCTGTTAATCTACTAGCACATATCGTAATATCATTTGAGGCTTCTAAAATCCAAATAAATGATAAAACGTAAAACAACAACATGATATAGATTAAACATCAGAACAAATGTAACTAGAAGCTATTTAGTGGACTCAATTTTAAAGGAAACGTGCATAAGACAAAAACACCATATTTGACAAATGACAGGAGACCAAAAATGCAACACAAAAGAGCAAAGTGCCCCGCTTACCCTTAGCTGATCTTCGGCTAGTCTTTGGCTTTCATTAACCCTGCAGAAAATATAAGATTTATCCTTATAGGCTGCAATGTATTCATGCACGCTTGCAATTGTTTAACTGTGACAGAACTATGCACTAATCGCAACAATTACTAGGAACAAAACCGATTACGTTTTTATTTGTTTTAGTTTTACAATGACAATAAAAGGAACAAGGATCAAGGCTTGTGGAATGCACATTTTTTTGCTTAATAAGCGGTTATGTTTCTATAAAGGGCAGTTGCAGGTACAGACTATTCTCAAGAATACCAAACGAAAGCTCATAAATGTTATGAATATTAGATAGAGTAGTCGCATAGAAATCTGATCGTTCATCTGTTAATACTTAACGGGCAAGGGATGCTAAGAGTATCGCGAACGCTGTGCTATCCTACAACTCTGACCAAACATCCTGGAGGAAAATGGCATTATAATAGTGAATTTAAAGTATAAAGATAGGTATACGTTAACCAATACGTACTCTTTCAGTTGCTGGATGAAGTCATGCTGCTGTTGAACTTCATCTCTTAGCTTGTTAACCTGCTTCGAGTGATTCTCTCTATGACTTTCCATTTGTTCTTCCAGAGTAGCCTACAAAGCAGACGAAAACAAATTTCAAAATTTGCAAAAAGCTTCAACAGAAATAGAAAAATCAATCAATTAAGAAAGAAGCATTCTTTATGGGTTAATTTGAATTTAATCTTATCATCTAACTCATTGCAAACGGAGGCAACTGAGATGATATAAAACTTTTCAAAACAAAAGGAAATAACAGACAATGCAAAATCAATGATGAAAATACAGGTAAAGACTTTCAAAATTTCCCTACAAAAGAAATCGCCTACGTTAATCATAAAACAGCAATTATTTTCTGCAATTATTATTTCCAAGCTGATTTGCCTTGAAGTTAAAGACGTTTATGACCCTCAGCAATTGAAAAAATAGATGGTACAAAAAAGACGAGACTGGCTATGTATCAATTAAAAATACAACACCATTGCGATATATTAATCAGACATGATACATTTAAATGAAATATTTCTTAATTTCATTGTCTTACTGTTTATTACAACTTTCTTTTATACAATAGTTCTACATAAATTAAATAACAAATGTTGTTTCACAACCATCTATTAAACGTTACATTAAAATTAGGCTGCCATATTGTCAAAGAATATAAAAAATAAAATCGGTTTACTTTCTTCTTAAATAAAATAATTGCGCAAAACTCAGTAAATAAACATTAGCTAAAAACTAAGAGAAACTAAAAAGAAACACCATTAAAAAACAACGAGTCATTTAAAAATCGATTAATATGATACAAATGAAATAGATAAATATATGAGTTTGATGACAAGAATAAATAATGGATAGAAATTTTTAAAAACAAGGTGACTGAACAAAAAAAAAATAGATAAAAGTTTAAAAGTACGTTTGATAGAATTTTATAGCATTGGACGGAAGAAAAAAAGCTAAATGGGAAACGTTTGCACGTGAATAGGGAGTCTAAGCTCCTTGTAGTTTAATTCACTTGTTAGAAATGCAATTTAACAGCTTTTTGAGGGCTAGTAACATCAAGAACTAGCAAGAGCAACAAGGCAGTTTTATTATCTTCTGTGTATGGCCAAATACTTAATTAAAGTGGTTGAGAATGTTAAGCCTACAAAGGGTACTTGGTTTATGCATTGAAATTATTGTTGATTTATTTTGTAGATGGCTTAAGATTTTATCTCTGGGCATTAGAAGGAATATTGCCAGGAGGTTAACAGGTTAGGTTGATAATTACCTGTGACTGAAAGCGTTTCTTAAACTCATATTTCAATAACATGGAATATCATTTACCTAAATTATGGGACAGTTACAGCCTTTTTGGTATTTTGTCTTTTGAATAATTTAATATTTTTACGAAATCGTAAGCAATGGTTAGACATAGATTAGATACATATATAAGTAGTATGAAAAGGATCTGGGAACGTTAATATGACTGAGGGAGTTGGTAAATAGTTCGTTATTTTATGGCAATTAATTTTTAGTAGGTAAGTAAATATATCACGAGGAAAAGCAATTAATAATTAACAGTTTGCTGAAGTATTAGGCATTTAGGCATTTGTAAGAACATGTTACTAGGAAACTCGATGCATTAAACTCTAAATGCTTTATATCACTTTAAGTTAACGATTTTATTCGAATAAAATATAAGTTTAGGGAAATGAAAAACACTGGCATTTATGTACAAAGGCATGAGTTTATTAATGGCAAGAACAAAATTCTTGCTGCCACAACAAGGATGCGTGAGTGTTTATTAGTCACTAACCACGATCGACGTATGTTATAACTAAGTTGTCCATCAAGAACAGACAGGGTATGTTAGGGAATGCGGAGAAAAGGATTTGCATTGAGAAATGAAAGCCAAAAAGAACAGGAGACAGTAGACTCCATATAAAAGCAATATGAGACAGGGTTGATGAAGCTGGTCTGGCAACATCGACCTTTAAAGGAAGAAGAGAGAGAAGTACTTTAGTGCAGGGTTCATACCGATTCTGCTGGCTGATTCAAAATCAACATAACAGGCACGAATTACACACTATTTTGAGAACTGGATGTGATATAGAAGTGTAACGAATGGTAAAATTATCTGAGGGCCTTGAAATGTAATGAAGACTTTCAAGTGTTAGGATCAGTCCAACAGGCAATCACGGATAATCACACACAAATCATAAAAGCAATACACAATCCAAGGTTTAGCTAAAACACTAAGATGATATAGAATTATCACTACCACTATCAAAGACATGTGATAAAATTTTAAACGAAATGACGAATGAGAGTAAGTTATGGGAATAAAAAGGCGTTAAGATCAACGAAAACTTGATATTTTTGGTTTCATATTTTTGGAATCATGCGAAATCACAAGAATCATACTATACGTTTACTTCCACGTCTGACGGGATGCTACAAAATTATTCAAATCACGCAGAATCACTGAAATCATGATATGTTGAGTCTGAGTTGCATCAAACCAACGTTTAAACAGGGTGAAGCAAGGGCAGGAAAATCAATTATGAGCGGATCAAAACTGGAAAATCCATCTCATAAAATAAAGCAGCAAGATTACTGACTGGTGATAATATTTCCATTCCATGAAACAGTTGAAAAAATTTCGATGATTCTAACACCAGTGACTATTGAAAACAACAGTCAAAGAAAAACCAAGAAAGGATCTTATTTGCCGAAGGATTATCTCTTTGAACCCGAGAATTTATGCAAAAACATAAGAAATGACAAACGATGAAGTCGATCGGTTTAATGGGAAAGATTATCACATAAGATGATAGACCATGAAGATTTTGTTGCCTTTCAAAACAAAAAATCCCTCCATGATAACTCTAAGCAAATAGAACGCATGGCTAGACTTGGACACAACTCTTGTTCTTCTTTTTGCCTTGCTCAGCAGTCTTTACTAAAACTCCCACGTTCAACGAAACGCAGCTCTTTCCATATCGTTTCACTGAATTTCATTTGCAAACTAAGCTCTAAATTGAATTCATTAACGTCTTAACTTCATTCAAAACTGAGCATACCACCTCATAGCCATTCTTGAATAAAATCTTGCACTTACTTTGGAATCACACATTTGATTGCGATAACTGAATAGACCCACGAGAAAACTTTTGAAATGTTTTTAAGGCTACACGTGTTTTGCAACCATGGATAGGCCACAATGTTTAGGCCATTGTTGAAACATGATCAGGGCAAAATTGCATGCATCATAGGTCTTCTCTCTGTAGATTGAAACCACAAAATCTTCGCAACAAATCACGCAAACTGTGTTTCTTTCTTACAAGTTCGAGAATGACTGTTTCAAACAATCCAGGCCAGCTCCACAAAATGCTTGGAAGCGTCCGGATCAGGAAGCAACGCCGGGTCGCCCGGATCAGGATTGGCTTCAAAACCATAGTAGAGACCATTGGTCTTCAATACATATATCAGTATATACATCGTAATAAGCAACTGAAACTAACATCGGCTTTCTAGTGGCCATAGGTATGCATAGGTGCCACTTCATAGATTTTCTCGTGAAACAATTGGGTGTAGTCCCTCGCTAACTTAAAGGTACCAAAGGTTTTGTTTTTAAATTTCTTCTTGATTTGGAAATCATGTTATATTACATGACATCTTTAGAGTTTGGAGGCACTAATAGGCTGGTAGAGCGCTCTTTCACAAAGGGCAATGGCCTGGTTAAGAGCAGAACCTGTCACTTCGTATCCCTGTTTGAAAACCATTTCTTTGCAATGGTGTGTCTCGAACAAAGTTCATCACCGTGAATTCTTGCTCAGAAAAATCAATTCAAATATATGCCAAACTGGTAAAACGGCAACTGAAAAGCCCCCTGTAAGGATAGAAGCATCTGTAATGTTCGCTTTCGTTCGTTCTGAAAATGATCGTTTCATCTGAAAGTAGACATGCGCTATGCAACCTTGCATTCCCATGGCTACGATTATAAACCAGTCCACCTTGACTACATGGAAGAATCCAATACGTAACTCGTAACGATACATGGCGTAGAGGAGTTTAAACCATTCACGCCATTTTCTATCTTAAGAAGTCAACGGAAACAGCCTTGATTCTTGTTGCTTCAAAACTCTATCAGCAATACTGATGCTTGTGAATTTAACATACATGCTCAATGTCCTTCAGAAATGAAATTGACCAATCCTTTACTGTTATCTTTCGCCATTCCAAATTTATGACGTAAAAAGGTGCATTTGCAGCACATTAAAAAAGCGCTGACGCTACATTCATTCGTCCCAGAAAATCAGTATGGTGACCTGTGATGACAATTTAGTTTCTTTCAATGAAAGACTGACCCAGGAATGATTGCGGTACCTGCTGTTCACACTCAAAGAGCATCCAACAAGGCCTATTTGCTAAAAATTCGACGATTTCCACCCAACCATAAATAACTAATCGTTGTTGGCCTCCAAAACGATAAGCTGTTTGCTTACAGACACATGCTTCAAATTTTCAATTCGGGACATTTTCAGTATTGTTATAGAAAAACTTACCAATGTATCTTACGAGAGTTGAAAAGCATTAAGAGCGGAATAGGTATTACAGAACGAGTCAAAAATGCACGATGAAAATATTGTTTCGTTTGACTGGAGCAAGGTCGTGAAGGTCATTGTAAAAACCTCAGCTGTCTCGAAATCTCAACCAACAGAAAAGGCAGTTTTTTGGCAATAGAAGTACCTCTTGTTGTTTTTGAATTACCCTCTGACATAACTCTAAGAGCGAAAAAAGACAAATAGTTGGTGGTCCACTCACCTTCATTTCATGAGCAGACAACAGCAAGCCCGCGTGCTCTTCTTCTTTGTCTTTGAAAGCTGCTAAGTTCATTTGTTCTGAGAGACAATAATTTTTCGATGAAAGCATTTTTAGGTAGATAACGTACAAATTAGTATTTACAATTACTTTAAGTAAATGAAGGTAGCAACAAATGATTTCTGGTCATTGTGGGATGAGATATACAAAACTACTAAATTGACGAAGTACAACAGTACCTTAAGAACTTATTTTTACTTAAAAAAATTGGATCGAAAAAGCGATAAGTGAGACAAATAATCAGAGTATCTTAATAATTATATTAAAACAATCAGGAACTATCTGCAGGAAAAGTTTGGAACCATGGACATCAAATATGCAGCGTTTGAATTCAAAATAAATTCAATAACCAATAGCACTGCATAAAATGTAACCGTCTTAATCCGAGATGTTTTACAGTCAATGACCTAATTAAATGCATAATTTCATTTAATATAAACCGAAAGATGGAAAACAGAGAAGATGGGTTTCCTACCATTAGCCTTCAGTCCCGCGATTTCTTCATTCAATGTGTCAACAGCCTCTTCTAGGATTCGCTTTTTGCCCTCCACTTCACGCAAACTGATGTTTAATGTGTTCAATTTAGCTTCGTGCTAGGAAAGTAAAAAAATTATTACTTCGAATGAAGCTCCCCTTGTCCGTTACTTTGGAGCTAGATGCTGGAATAGCATTCCCATTGATATAAAAAATTTACCCACTGCTGTCAGCTTTCGCCGTAAACTGAAAGCTTTCCTCTTTTAAAGTAATCACCAAAATCGAGCACAGAATAATTGACACTAAATAGCCACCATCTACCCTAGTCGTAATTTCTATGAAGTGAACAAATTTACAAAAAATAATATTAAATAGGGGTGTTCTCTCCTCGATTAGCTTGACTACCGAGAGAGCTCCTCCTTAAGAAATTCCCTCCACACAATTTGTCTTACACTCTTTTGGTTCCCTGAATGTATATGCTAATAATTTCACCTAACGATGCATGTTTTTTCTGTAATTTAATCTTACTTGCTTGTAGTTTAGCTTATCTATCTGTTGGATTATTGGGATACATTGAGTGTAGTGGAATTTAAAAAAAATGAAACTGAACTGAACTGAGCAGGGAAGAGAAGTGGTAATTGTGAATATTTATCATAAATTATCATAAATTAATATGATTATCCTACAAGACAAAAGTTAGGCTGTTCACTGTGCAAGAATCAGCATTGCATGTTTCACATTAAAGCCACACTGATTGTCCTGTTCAATTCGGCTGGCAGTGCGAAAGCAAGACCCCCAAAAGAAATATATCGCAAAAAAACAGTATCAAACACAGACATTTATTAAGTCTTTCTAGAAGGTTCTGATCATTCAAAAAAGTAGCGTAGGGTAAGGACATAGACTAGGAGCAAAAAAATAGTGGTTCTCTGTCATGTCCCGATAATTTACTGGCCTTCTTAAAGGGCAGTGTATGGCATCAAATTATTTTGTGTGGTACTGCGTTGTATTGCATTGTATTGTATTGGGTTGTATTCAAATTTATAGCATGCAATTGCTTGAATAAACACTTCTACATTTAGATCAATATCAATGTACATTGCACAGCCAAACCAAATCGAAAGCCATATAATTCGCAACAGAAAATTCAATTAGAGTAACAGCCCGCCTTTCAGACTCTATGCTGAGAAACACTATACAAGAAAAGATCCCGAAAAATTGTTCACCCTCATTGTGTTGACCTTAGATTAGAAATGTGACAGAAAAGCAAAAACAGCAGAAGGGCGTATGTTGCTTGAAATAAGCACTCAACTACTGCGCAAGTTTCAGCTGCGTTAAAGAAGGACAACTACACAAAAGCTCTATAATAATAGAATTATCAATTGGAAATAGTAGAAATTTGGCACAACACTCTTAGAGATGTTATTTAAAGAATAAAGCAGGGGCGTATTGTATTTAAGGAAAAGTATTTGTGTATTTATGAGTATTTGACAAAATTGATAAATAAGCGAAGATTCTGGTAAAGAACTTGCCGTGATGCGAAATATTCATGCAACCTATCTATAGATTAACCTTCTTTTAAAACTGATTATGCGAAAAAGGCACTGAGAAATGGAAAGAACCTGTGCTCAAAACAATACTGATGACTGATGAAATCAACAATATACAATAATGGGAGGAAATTTTAACTTTAAATTAAGAATCAATGATCTCAGTTTAAGCACAAGCATCGAAGAGGATGTAATTTATGAAGACAAAGTTTGAAAGCTTCTTCCAACCAGCGTCATTTCAAAATATAATGACGTGTTTTTAACACATCTAGATGTGCTAATAAAACTTTTTCATGCAATAACCGCATTAGAAACTATTAACCTACATAATATAAGAGTTCTGAAATATTTTCTATTTTTGTATTGCATTTAAATCTTCTGTAGTCTCCTTGCAACTTTTAAAAACAACTCCTTTCGCAGGAACGATCTGGACATGATTTGAAGGGCTTTCAGGTATCTTTTTGCAAAGTAAAGTTTTGACTTCTATGATGGAGTTACCGTCGTCTGATATGTAGCTGTCTGCACTAGACGTCGCCCCGCTTCGGTCAACTGGCTGAAACACTTGCAACTCTGGACCTGTTTTTGAATTCCTTTGCAACGTATGACATTGGTATAGAAGCTTGTCAAGTGTGTTTTCAAGGTCAATCAACTCTTTACTACGCCTCCCTGTTGCTGGATAACTGTTGAATTCATTTCTGCGGGAAATGTGCGGGGAGCGCGGGGAATTAAGAGACTGGCCTACAGCATGCAATCCTTTCAGCTGACCAAGCTCCTTCGCCTGAGCAAGTAAAAGCTTCCTTTGCTCCTTGATTTGAAAGTCTTGCAGTTCCAAAACTTTGGTTAACTTTAAAAACTTCTGTCTTGTAGAAACTATTTCCGTTATTACTTCCCCAAGAGCCGAACATACGGACTGTTCAAAATTTTCGCTTTGTATTGGAAGAATTGCTAAGAGTGATTGTGCAATCGGATCAGCCTCATCTACAACTTTGTCTCCACGATTGCCTAGGTAAATGACAGAAGAACTTGGTGTCAAAGTAGGCGAATCCGCTATTTCATAATCCCATTCCAAATTAAAGGGTGTTGCTTCAGCGTTGGCCTCTTGCATTTGTGATATAGTATCATCTTCTACAGGAGGCGGAGGGATAAAAAAGTCTATATCGAGGCTGGAAAACCTGATGTACCTGTCCTGCTCTGAAAGGCTGCTGGGACTCGGGGCCAGCTTTGGAGGGACTGCAGATGCGGGCCGTTTAATTTCTTCAGCTGCTAGGTGATCCACCTTTCTAGATCGAATGCCTTGGTCACTCACACTGCTTACACATCGGGCTGGCGATGCTTCTGTGCTTGCTGTCGCTTTCCATTGCGGGAGGTATGAGAGCCACGGGTCAACCTTATCTTCTATGCGTTGCGATTTTTCTTTCGATGGAGTCGTTCGGGTATTTGAATCGCTGGTTATCACGAAATTGCCTTCCAGTGACATGACTGTATTATCAATAATTGCAACTTCGCGTTGAGAAATTTGGCTTTGGGCGCTTGCTGGCCTGGATTCATGATGTGCTGAATTCCCCACCTCTTCAGATGGCGCTAAAGGGGCTGCATGGCCAAGGCATAAATCGATAGGCGTGTCTTTTCGTTTGGGCTGTTGATCAACTGGGGTTTTCAGGCGGCCGTGTACACGGTCAAGGAGAGATTTTGGACTTTCAAAATTGTTCTCTGCATATCTTGCTTCGAGAACATCGCTAACTGAAGGTCTTTCAAGAGTGTTGACTGGTGATATCGATTGAAAGCTGACCGGCGAGACGGGTAGATTTTCGGGTACTGACAACGGAACCCTTCTTGGTGTATAAGGGTCACTTGATTCTGCGAAGGAGCTCTCACGAGGTGAGTCCTCTGTATTTTTCAAAGCAGAGCTCCCCCTGCAATTGTTTGGAAGTGAATCAGGTTGCGTTGTTGAGGTTGGGGTGACGCAGCTGGTTGTTGAGAAAACGTTTGCAGCATCTGCGATATTCGATGTGCCTTCTGGGATTTCATTGGGCGTTGGTAAGCGAGGTTTTCCAATACTATTGACCTTAGGAATATCCACTGTAAATCTTTCTTGATTGGGCTTGTCAGAGCTTAATGTAAGATCATTAATACTGTTAGTTATGGTCTCTTCCCCAATGCTATAGTAACTATCTCTGTGAGAGCTTTGAACATAGTCTCGTCCAGATTTGTTATTGTTGCTTGTTTTTTGTATGGAGAAACGGTCGTCATTGTTAGCGAATTTCTTGGTGTAGTCACCTAACAATTCACCTGCTATTCTATCCAGCTCTTCATCACGTTGCTCGGTACGCGTACTATCGCTCGAGCTGTCTGAATAATAGTTGGAACTCTCAACAGATCGTGAATCTGAAAACATACTATCCATTTCTTCATCCCGAATTCTCTCCTCTGACCTGCTAAGGTGCGGACTTTGCAAAAACTGCTGCAACGAAATCTGCCCATCTTGAAATTGCGATAAAATGTCTTCATCAAAAAGGCTCCCCTCATCTGCGCTTGTGATGCTAAGTGTTTCGTCATTATCTAGCGAATTTACAATTCTGTCGATGTTTTCAACATCAAATGACTCCCTTCTGCCTTCCTCAAACGTCCCAGTACTTGAAGCAAACGAATTTCTTGCAGATGATACAGAATGATTGAGAGATTCGCCGTCCGAGTTTCGACTGCAGTCACTGGGCGTAACACTACGGATTCCATTACTTGATTCTTGACTTGCCTCTTTGGCAAAATTGCGATGGTACGAGAGCTTGTCGCCGACTTCATCCTCTGTACACGATTCGTCTTCGCTGGCACTACCAAAGCCTTTCCTATCTTTTTTCTTCTTTTTGCTGAGTTTTTTGAACAAGCCAACCATTGTGTTGAGTTAACGGGTAAACATGTCGCGCACAAGGCAGGCAAGCACTTGCAAAACTTCAGACTGACTGATCAAATGAATTATGCATAGGTATATTTAAAGACATATGTTTTCGTACCAAAGAACGAAACCACACTTCATTACTGATTGTTCACCATAAGAATGACAGTTAACTCTTCAGAATCAAACATGATAATCATAATCCGAGAAAGGTACTGATGTAGTAATAATGTTGAACAGATGTAAAGACGAGCAAGTGTTATTCACCAAAGAACTGCCACATGAATCACAAAGTTTTTCATTGCATACTGACAATTTCTTCATCAATGAAATGGCAGTTGAAACTGAGACATTACGTCATGAAGCAAAACTAGAATTTACACACAACAATAAAAGTCATCCGTTGTGGCATTTTGACAGCCAGGAATTTTCCGCAAACTCTCTTAACCCCTGACCACGAGGAAAAAAAAGCTACTAAACTAATGAATTGTCCATTCATTACGCTGGATATTTCAAATTGGCGATGACAAGAGCTACTTAAAAAGTAACGTACACAGAAACACAGTATCAATGCAATTTCTGAGGTTTAACTTGAATATAGGGAATGTCACGACCCCCGGTTCTTTTAGTTATACCCCTCCCCCTATACACAGTGTCAGTATCTGGCTTTTCAGAATGCGAAACAGAAGATCTTAGTGTCGAATTCTGGTGGATCGTCACTACGCAAATTTTTAGAGAAAATGAAGAATTCCTGTAATCATATTTCCCTAATTAAAAAACTCACAAAACACAACAAAATAAATTCCCTCTATGGTAAACTTATAGACATTATAACGTGACCATTTTATATGTTGGAAATTTGGAATAATAATAAACATGTGCAGTTCATCTTTGTAAAACATCTTCATGGTTTAAAAGATTGAACGATCTGCAATGCATCAATTATTCACAGAAACTGTTGATTTGCATAACAACAAGGTGCCCAAGCTTTAATTCCTATTGAACAATTTCTCTGAAAATGTCAACCACGCAAATAAGGATCTTCAGTTAAAAACAAATTAATCAAAACATTGAGCAGAAAAGAAGGCCTTGGCTCTTGAAGTAGATTCAAAATGCTACAGGGCAATCAGAGACATGCTTAACGGAGTTCATTTCTGTGCTACCAAAGCAAGTACAAGTAACTTTGACTGTTTATCTTTAAACGCTCATAAAACAACCTCTTCCTCCCACTACACTCCCCAAGAAAACTGAAAAATCACTATTCTCCATAAAGAATAGCCCGTTGAAAACAAAGAACGAATGACGTGTTTGTGGGTCATATATAACATCGCAACTCTTTAGTGAGTATATGGAATACGCAAGGAAACCAAATAACAACGCGGCCCCAAGTTTCTAACGATTTCGATTTAGCTTACCTTATTTCATCTTACCTTACTTTATCTTGCCTAATCTTACTCTACCTATCCTATCTCTCCTTACCTTTCATATACTTATCTAACCTTACCTCACACGACTGCATTCATTTTTTATAAGAAAATATGATCCGGATTAACATTCAGTTTCTTAACTTCTGCTAATTGCAGTGCTAAAAGTTTCTTTGAAATTTCTTGTATACCAAATGCTTAAGAGGAACTTTTTAGAAACACAAAAACAAAAATGAGATAATATGAGACAAAACACCTAATACATTACGAGAAGCCTTTCTTTCTATTCTTTCTTCCAATGTCAATTTACGGGGATATGGGCGCTTAATCGTTGAAAAGAATCATTTCAACCCTATCTATGAAAGGATTTACAAAAAGTTTCTTAAGAATGAGGGTGATCAGTATTATGGTTCATAATTTTTGTATGTCTTAGGACTCAGTTATAGAGGATATCTTCTAAATAGGAATAAACAAATTATTGTTAAAGAAGAATATTAAAAATCATTACGAAACTGTGGAGCAAAGGCCACACAGAAAATCTATTATTTCATGACTTTGGATCCATTCGGTTACGGGATATATTTAGGCCAGCGAAGATGCCGGTTTGAACCACACATGTAAGTCGAAAGGCGAAATTAACTCCAAAAAAGATTTTTAAGATGAAAATATTACAGACGGTTAGAGGGAAACATCAAAGAAGTTTAGAAAATGACATATGACACATGGGCGCGATGATTTCGTTTGAAGAACACGAGGTCAAACAACAATGACTGCAATCGTGTTTCACTATCGCGCAGGCTTCAAGGACAAAATCAACATCGTTTTACCAATTACGGGAAAAGAAACTGTGGAATTCAAACGAATAATACAAAGACCGATCTCAGCCAATTTTTCAAACAAAACGAGTTTCTTACGATAACATCATAGTTCATTTTCATTCAACTGGGCCTCCGACAAAATTAATGTCTGATAATTCAGTCGGCATTGCGTTAAACGGCAAGTCAAAGAAAGGTTAATCTTCACGCCGACACTCCATCGTATAAAACCTGAAACGCCAGAGGATATTACACTGATGCGAATCATAACATGAAACTGATTCGTGCAATTGTAATACTGTAGGAAACGAAGAATCCAACAACCAAGACATTTGAAGCTGAATTGATATCGACCCTCTCCACGCCGCTATGCTATGGCATCACTAGCCATACATTGGAGAAAAGCAAGAAAGTGTGGCTTGGTGTGAAAGCTTACAAAGGGCCTAAAAGCAATCCCACTATGATGGAAATATACTTTATTTTATGTTGTTTTCAACTACCCTGTGCTCCAGTAGAGAAATATTAAAAAACTCCAATGTGAAATACACATTTAAAAAAATATATTCTATTTGGTCACACGTGTGCGAATGAAAATGTCATTCCCACTGTCGTTATAGTTGTGGAGCCGAGGTAGGGGGAAGGGGTGCGGCGGGGGGGGCTGTATCCGGTAAAAAACAATATATAACTAAACAACGCAGTCTCGATTGTTAACTGAGAGAATTATGGTAGAAAATTTTGGCGCACATTAGAATGAAACAAGGATAGCAATGAAAATTTTATAAGAAGACAACGGAAGCTGAAAACAGAGCCTTAATTTATTCATTTTTGTCAACAAAGAAGGCTTGATGGATGATAATCGTAAAAAAGTGCTGGAAAAAGGTTTTCATCTGTTTTCATGACACAAAAGCTGCGTTTTACAAAGTAACAGATGTTATTTGTTAAGAGGAGACCACGTGCTGCTTTGTAAGCCGTTCACTGAGGTCTGGGGTTTCATATTATTGAATGAGAATGAAATTCACCATTCCATATTATTGAATGAGAAGGAAATTAGCCATTCATTATCTTAGAATTCTACAGAACATTGTCATTGGACGCTCGTTGATTTGATAAAGAAGGCAACTGACTTGGCAAATTTGAAGTTTCTTTTGAAGCAAACATTGTATGTTTCTTTTACATCAAGCATTAGCGAAGTGAAGTAAAGTAAAGTAAAAAAACTTGTATATCAAATTAGCGAGCAACAGCAACACAAAAGTAAGCTATGGTCCCGCTCTTCTCGGTAACCGAATGCTCTTGCACTAAAATTAAAAGTATTGTCCTTGCTTGGCCGTGACCAAAATTGGAGAATATTTGGTTCAGAGACGGAATCTACTAACGTAGAAGAAAAACTGAGGATAAAGGGTTAAAGAAAATTTCCGCCATAGACGACTGACTAATCAGCGATGTGAAAATGTTGCAGTAAGATTGCTTGCTAGGAAGGAGCCCCTATGGGATTATCTAGCATGACTTTTTCGCTTTTTGTTGGAACAGACAGTATAAACTCTCTCATTTTTTAGAATACGGATTTGTCAGTAGAAATCGTCTTTATCAAATCCACTATGAAAAGGCAAAAAATATTTTGGTTACGATAAAAACCGTGGGCGGAAAATCAAGTTTAAAAATTATCCCTTACATCTGAAATGGCTTTATACATCAAATAGAGAATTCATATACTGACTAAAACTGAATATCTGCAGAAAAACGCAAATAATCTTTCAGCTAATCAGGTATCATTTTTCTTCCTGAAATCGGAAAAACATTCTGAACCTAATCTTGCAAAATATCTATTCAGCTTTAGACTAGGCATTTAAGACTTCAAATCAATCCTGAAAGGGTCATTTTTCGTTTTTATCAAGATTTTATTATTTTTCAGCATTAGATTTATCCTTACTCAAATGAGAATTTACTTCCTAAAAAGACCAGAATTTCATAACTAAACTTATTCCCTTAGTCAAAGGATCTTTCGACTTTTAAAATCAGACAAAAGACGATTCACAACAGTAAAGCTGGTTTCCATTGCGAAGTCTTTCAGGTTGTTTACAGTAGCAGATGGTCGCTACAATCTTCATATATGTATGCTGCGTTTCTTAAATAATGAAATGCCTACCAATCAGGAATTAAACCGAAGGGCGTATAATATTCAACATGAAAAAAGCTACAAACGTTCAGAACAATGAATTGATAATCTAGCAGAGCCACTACCCTTCAAAGAATCAAGTCACGTGGCTGGAAACATGTCAACAAAGAGTCACGTGGCCGGAAACATGTCAACACGCCAAATGAAGAATTATTACCTGGGATATTAACAAATGGGCCGCCGCGAGATCTTTCTCATTTACATCCAATTTTGATTGACTATCCTTCTTGACTTGCACCAAAGTTTTGTTTGACTGAAAAAGACAAGGATAAATATTTATGTTGGTATTTGAGAAATATTGATCTGCACTGGTCTAAGATCATTTACAGCACAGCCTTGGAAAAACAAGGAACAAGATGTTCAGGAAGTTAGGAAAAAGATTTGAGAAAGTGAGAATTGAAGTTTATGAAAGAGTTGAGCAACAGATTTTCCAAATTTTTTTTTTTTTTTCCTTTAATCAATAAACTGAAAAAAAACTTTAAGAAGACGATAGAAAATACTTCCTGGGCAAAGTTTCTGGTCCATTATAAAACAAAGAGCGATTTAAGCTCCCCAAGAGTTAAGATGAGCTGATTTGAGATATTTCAGTGATCTGAGGTGGGTTGAAAATTGTCTCGTGCTGGATAAGCTTTTGATAAAAACTATTTAACAAAAATAAAAAAACGTTACCTTGAAAATTAATTTTTTATGACTTCAAACTCATGCTTCAACTTTGGATAACATACTTACAGTAAAAGGTACTTTTGATAACAAAAAATGGCTTACTGATATCTTACTCACGAAAAAAACGATTTTGGAGATAAAAGAACAAGGTGCTATCACTTTGCAAATTTCAACGAGATTTTGGAGATAAGAGAACAAGGTGACACCATTCATTTACAATCGATTCCTAGTATTTCGATTATCACGGAAACGGAATCAGCGTATTGGCTAATTTAGCTCACGATATCTCATGCTGTTTAGAGCTCATGGTAACTCAGCCTTACTAAAATTGTACCATGATTTAATTTTCAACTCGACTCAGAATTATGTAAACTCGTAATATCAAGCTTTAGTATAAGGAATCTTGATACATCTATATAATAGGCAAGGCACAATTTTTTGCACTACGTTCTTATGCTCAAAACAAAGATGATCTTTCCAACCAAATCATGAGTAAATTGTGCTTACGGTGACAAGGGTCTTAACTTCTGTTTTGAGCTTGAACAAGCCAACCATTGTGTTGAGTTAACGGGTAAACATGGTCGCGCACAAGGCAGGCAAAGCAAAAACTTGCAAAACTTCAGACTGACTAATCAAATGAATTATGCATAGTATATTTAAAAGACATATGTTTTCGTACCAAAAGAACGAAAACCAACACTTCATTACTGATTGTTCACCACACTATTCAGAATGACAGTTAACTCTTCAGAATGCAACATGATAATCATAATCCGAGAAAGGTACTGATGTAGTAATAATGGTTGGAACAGATGGTAAAGACGAGCCAAGTGTTCATCTCACTAAAGAACTGCCACAAATGAAATCACAAGTTTTTCATTGCATACTGACAATTTTTCATCAAATGAAAATGGCAGTTGAAACTGAGACATTACGTCAATGAAGCAAAACTAGAATTTACAACAACAATAAAGTCATCCGTTGTGGCATTTTGACAGCCGGAATTTCTCGCAAACCTCTTTAAACCCCTGACCACGAGGAAAACAAAAGCTACTAAACTAAGAATTGTCCATTATTACGCATTGGATATTCAAATGGCGGATGACAAGAGCTACTTAAAAAGTAACGTACACAGAAACAGTATCATTGCAATTTCTTGAGGTTTAACTTGAATTAGGGAATGTCACGACCGCCCGGTTCTTTTAGTTATACACCTCCCCCTATTACACAGTGTCAGTTATCTGCTTCAGATGCGAAACAGAAGATCTTAGTGTCGAATTCTGTGGATCGTCACTACGCAAATTTTCTAGAGAAAATGAAAATTCCTGTTAATCATATTTCCCTAATTAAAAAACTCACAAAACACAACAAAATAAAATTCCCGTCTTATGGTAAAACTTATAGACATTATAACTGTGAACCATTTTATATGTTGGAAATTTGTGAATAATAATAAAACATTGTGGGTGTATTTAAAACATCTTCATGGTTTAAAAAGATTGAACGATCTGCCAATGTCATCAATATTTCACAGAAACTGTTGATTTGCATAACAACAAGTGCCACAAGCTTTTAATTTCCTATTGAACAATTCTCTGAAAATTTCAACCACGCAAATAAGGATCTTCAGTTAAAAACAAATTAATCAAACATTGAGTCAGAAAAGAAGGCCTTGGCTCTTGAAGTAGATAAAAATGCTACAGTGGCAATCAAGAGATGCTTAACGGCGTTCATTTCTGTGCTACCAAAGCAATACAAGTAACTTTGGATGTTTATCTTTACATACGCTCACTAAACAACCTTTCTCCCACTACACTCCCAAGAAAATCTGAAAAAATTCACTATTCTCCATAAAGAATAGCCCGTTGAAAAACAAAGAACTGAATGAACTGTGTTTGTGGGTCATCATATACATACGCAACTCTTTAGTGAGTATTATGGACATACCAAACCAAATACAAACGCGGCCACCAAAGTTTCTAAAATAACGATTTCGATTTGCCTTAACCTTATTTCATCTTACTTACTTTATTCTGCCTAAATCTTTACTCTACCTATCCTTCTCTCCTTACCTTTCATTAGGTACCTTATCTAACCTTACTCTCACATCGCGACTGCATTCATTTTTTATTTAGAAAATATGATCCGGTATTAACATTCAGTTTCTTAACTTCTGCTTAATTGCAGTCTGCTAAAAGTTTCTTTGAATTTTCTGTATACCAATGCTTAAGGAGGAACTTTTTAGAAACAAAAAACAAAAATGAGATAATATGAGACAAAACACCTAATACATTTACGAGAAGCCTTTCTTCCTATTCTTTTCTTTCCAATGTCAATTTTACGGGGATATGGGCGCTTAATCGTTTTGAAAAAGAATCATTTCAACCCTATCTATGAAAGGATTTAACAAAAAGTTCTTAAAGATGAGGGTGATCAGTATTATGGGTTCATAATTTTTGTATGTCTTAGGACTCAAGTTATAGAGGATATCTTCTAAATAGGAATAAACAAAATTATTGTTAAAAGAAGAATATAAAATCATTACGAAACTGTGGAGCAAAGGCACACAGAAAATCTATTATTTCATGACTTTGGATCCATTCGGTTACGGGATATATTTAGGCCAGCGAAGATGCCGTTTGAACCACACATGTAAGTCGAACGCGAATTAACTCCAAAAAAAGATTTTTAAATGAAAAATATTAACGACGTTGAGAGGGACAAACATCAAAGAAGTTTAGAAAATGGACATATGACACATGTGGCCGCGATTGATTTCGTTTGAAGAACACTGAGGTCAAAACAACAATGGACTGTCAATCGTGTTTCACTATCGCGCAGGCTTCAAGGACAAAATCAACATCGTTTTACCAATTACGGGAAAAGAACTGTGGAATTCAAACGAAATAATACAAAGAACCGATCGTCAGCCAATTTTTCAAACAAAACGAGTTCTCTTACGATACATCATAGTTTCATTTTCATTCAAACTGGGCCTCCGACAAAATAATGTCTGATAATTTCAGTCGCATTGCTTAAACGGAAGTCAAAGAAGGTTAATCTTTTCACGCCGACACTCCATCGTATAAAAACCTGAAAACGCCAGAGGATTTCACTGATGCGAATCATAACATGAAACTGATTCGTGCAATTAATACTGTAGGGAAAACGAGAATCCAACAACGCAAGACATTTGAAGCTGAATTTGATATCGACCGTCTCCACGCCGCTATGCTATGGGCATCACTAGCCATACATTGGAGAAAAGCAAGAAAGTGTGGCTTGTTGTGAAAGCTTACAAAGGGCCTAAAAGGCATCCCACTATGAATGGAAATATACTTTATTTTTCGTTGATTTTTCAACTACCCCGTGCTCCAGTAGAGAAATATTAAAAAACTCCAAATGTTGAAAATACACATTTAAAAAATAATATTCTATTTGTCACACGTGTGCGAATTGAATGTCAATTCCCACTGTCGTTATAGTTGTTGTGGAGCCGAGGTAGGGGGAAGGGTGGCGGCGGGACGGGGGGCTGGTATCCGGTAACAAAACAATATATAACTAAACAACGCAGTCTCGATTGTTAACTGAGAGAATTATGGTAGAAAATTTTGGCGCACATTAGAATGAAACCAAGGATAAGCAATGAAAATTTTATAAGAAGACAAACGAAGCTGAAAACAGAGCGCTTAAATTTATCATTTTTGTCAACAAAGAAGGCTTGATGGATGATAATCGTAAAAAAGTGCTGGAAAAAGGTTTTCATCTGTTTTCATGAACAAAAGCTGCGTTTTACAATAGTAACAGATGTTATTTTTGTTAAGAGGAGACCACGTGCTTGCTTTGTAGCCGTCACTGAGGTTCTGGGGTTTCATATTATTGATGAGAATGAAATTCACCATTCATATTATTGAATGAGAAGGAAAATTAGCCATTCATTATCTTAGATCTACAGAACATTGTATTGGACGCTCGTTGATTTATAAGAAGGCAATCTGACTTGGCAAATTTGAAGTTTCTTTTGAAGCAAACATTGTATGTTTCTTTTACATCAAGCATTAGCGAAGTGAAGTAAAGTAAAGTAAAAAAACTTGTATATCAAATTACGAGCAACAGCAACACAAAGTAACTATGGTCCGCTCTTTCTCGGTAACACGATGCTCTTGTCACTAAAATAAAAGTATTGTCCTTGCTTGGCCGTGACAAAATTGGAGAATATTTTGGTTCAGAGACGAATCTACTAACGTAGAAGAAAAACTGAGGATAAAGGGTTAAAGAAAATTTCCGCCATTAGACGACTGACTAATCAGCGTGTGAAAATGTTGCAGTAATGATTGCTTGCTAGGAAGGCCCCTATGGGATTACTAGCATGACTTTTTCGCTTTTTTGGGAACAGACAGTATAAACTCTCTCATTTTTTAGAATATCGGATTTGTCAGTAGAAATCGTCTTTATCAAATTCCACTATGAAAAGTGCAAAAAAATATTTTGTTACGATAAAACGTGGGCGAAAATCAAGTTTAAAAATTATCCCTTACATCTGAAATGGCTTTTACATCAATAGTAGAATTCATATACTGACTAAAACTG